GTACAGACGCTTAGGGCAGATTGTTCTATATGCTCGTAGACCTGTCAGATGCGTTCCACTTACTGAAATTCACTGTGGCCTGCGTTTAGCCTGGAGTAGAGAGCATGCATTGTGGACACCGCAACAGTGGGCTTTCATGATGTTTTCCGACGAGTCCAGTCTGATTCTCGCCGGACTTTCATATGGAGAGCTCCAGGTACCCGTCACCACCAAGAAAACATCATTGAACGACACCGTTACGGTGGTGCAGGAGTGCTCGTTTAGGGTGGAATTATTCTGGGTTCCAGAACTGACCTGCGTGTTCAAATTGGAACCACGAAAGCCAAATCTATCGGGACGTCATTCTGGAACAACATGTACGTTTGTTTCGGGGCGCCATGGGCGCAGAATTTCTGTTTATGGATGACAACGCCCGTCCTCACCGTGCAAACATCGTAAGCGAATGCCTTCAATCGGAGGATATCACCCGTATGGACTGGCCAGCATTCTCACCGGACTTGAACCCAGTAGAGCACGTGTGGGACATGCTTCGCCAACGAGTTGCAGCCCGTCCTCCTACATGTCTACCGGAACTTCGGAGAGCATTGCTTTTTGAGTGGTGTAATATCCCCCAAGATCAGATCGATAATTTGATACTCAGCATGCCTAGGCGTTGTACGGACTGTATTGCATCGTCTGGGAGACATACAATGCATTAACAATCATACCAACCATGTAATATTGGTTTTTTGTAAATAAGTTTTTTTTTGTAATTTGCCCCAGGGAGAAAAAATCGCTAATTTTTTTAAGGATATCAAACATATAGCATCTTTTTTTTGCCCTTTACCTTTTGTTTAATAAATAAGCTTCACAAATAAGTCAAATTTGTTTTGCTTCTAACTCTTCCTTTGTCTGATTTTGCATTATCCTTAATTTATGAACATGAGTGTATTTCCTGTTTATTGCAAAATTTCTGTAGAATTTTTTCAAGAAATTGGTTAAAAATTCAATTCATTTAAAAGTGAAAAAAATGTCTGCATTTTTTAGCTTGCAAATTATGTCCGATGAAATCACGTGCGCCATATTATATGTAACTTTAAACCGCAAAAGGCAATTCAGATTCTTATATGGTTAAAAAACTGTTTATGAAGATAAATGTAGGCGAAGGAAATGTGAAAGAATTATCCCGTATTTCAGAAACAGAAGATATGAAAACAGAGCCTTCTGTGAATGGTTACATTAGGCGCCAATTTGAGCAATTTTTTAGGTGCGACTTTGGTAGACGGTTGCACGGATTTTTGGCGATTTACGTTGGCGCGATTTTTACAAACGTCAGTCATCTTGAAAAACGCTGTTTTTACGCATAGTAAAGTATTCGAAACTTTAAAAAAAATATATCATTAAAAGTAATGGATTAATTTTTTGTTGAAAATGTCGATTTTTAAGATGGCAGGCAAGTGTAAATAAATACATTTACTATGAGTATAAAATACTAAAGTAAGGTTATTATTACTTTGATATAGCAAAGAAGAGAATAAAAACACCGCTATAAAAACATTGGGCCAAAGTTTAATTAGATTAAAATATTACTGAAATTGAATATCGAATTAAAAACCATCATACCAACATTTAAAAGAATTAGAATATTATTAAAGTCAAATAGTTTAAAATACGTTATATAGAATATAATTAACATTAAAACATAGGGACAATAATTATCTCAGCAATTTCTGAAAATAGTGTATTAATTTTTTTAACAAAAATTGAAGTATACAATTATAAAATAAAAGAAAAATATGTACTTACATTTTTTTGAGTATTTAACCTGTTGTTTATTGGTAAGCATCACAAAAAAACCAGAATCATAATTTAGATAACATCTTTGAAGACATCTTTGAAGGAATTCGAAGATATGAATTAAATTTTAAAACGGCGCGGAAATGCACAAATTGTCAGTAACCAATCAGGGAGCTGATTACAGCTCGTTCAGTGCACAAATATTCTCTAATAACCAATCAGAGAGCTTATTACATATCACACGGCTAGAATTAAAATTATTTAAAAATTCATACATAATAAAATCATTTTCCAAAAAAATGCAAAATTAAACTGTATTTTAATATTTAACAGCCATAAATAATGTTTAAAACATTAGATTAAATTTATACATATTAAAACGAATTACTTTTAAAGTAAGGTGACGTCATTGATTACATCATTCACAACATAAAATTTCATAAAATATGATAAACAATAACATTTTTATTTCAAATAAAAATGCAAAATTAAATTGATTTTTAATATTTAAAAGCCATAAATAATATTTTAAACACGGAATTTATGCCCAATAAAACGCATTATTTTTTAAATAAAATGACAACAAAGTATCGGTTACCATAAATAACTTATCCATTAATGGGTTTACCATAAGTTGTATTACTCGCCAAAGGAAAATCGCCAAAAATCCGTGCAACCGTCTACCAAAGTAGCACCATTTTTTATTTTGCCGTTATCAAAGGAATTATTGTATTTAAAAGTTTTCAAGCGTATTTTACTTTTATGAATGTAAATATTTCTATTTTACCATTAACAGACGCTCTGGTTTGTACTTTTTTATCACTCAGTGCATTATTAATATTTTTACCATTATGATTTTGAGGACGAGTTACTAAACGTTTAAGCCTTTCATTTCTAATTCTTTTTATAATTATTAAAAGAAATCTTAGTTTTATAGCTTTTTTTTTCTTTTTTTTTTCGAATGTCACTTTTTCTAAACTGGTGATGGATTACAATTAAATTCTAATTTCCCTCCAGTCAGAATAGGGAAAATAGCTTATTGTTTCGCTTTTTACAATTAACATTATTGCTTTCTACTTTATCTTTGAGTAAACAGAAGTTATTAAAGCTTATAGGCCTGAACTACAAGAATTTCTTTTGCTGGTTATAGAAATGTTCCTTTGTTGCAAAGCATAATTAGGAGCAGCGTCTGAGCAGAAACCATCTTTTGTACTAGAAAAATCAGGATGTAAAACAATAAAAAATTATAGAATCATTTTTGAAACTCACTTTGCCGATAACGGAAGCACGGTTCAAGCCTCCATGGATTACAGCTAACAAAACAGAGAGTCAAAATAAATGTACTTCAAAACGAAATTCTCCGATCCATAGTAAATGCTCCATGATATGTCAAAAATTCGCAAATTCATAATGGTCTACGTAGCAAGACAACACACGATCAGATATTAATCAATACTCCTAATTTTTTCAAAAGCACCAGGAATTCACCTCACAGAGCTATTCGAGAATTAATTAATTATCACCTTTCAATAAAGTGTTGTTAAAGGATTTCTTACTTTACATCACAATACTTCCTGGTGGGGATTGTAAATATATAAATAGTTTTCTTGTGGGTATCATTATCTGGCAAAGCAGGATTTGGACTTTGTTTTCCCGGCAAAGCAGAATATGGACTTTGATTTTTACATTTTATTTATTTTATCAACTTATTTAATTATTTGCTGTGTTTGACGAAAGATACAACAAATGAAGTGTTGTGAATAAAAGAAATTGCTCGCAGGAACGATTCGTCAGAATAATCCCGTGACCTCAAATTACATTAAATCAATTTCAATTGTTTAATAAGATAGATTTCTTTCATTAGAATATTTATCTCCGTATTAACTGTAAATAAATACTAGACTTCGTGTTGTTGACCAAAGCAGGAACTAGTGAAATAATCCGTTAAATGAAAGTGTCGCAGGGATACATATGCAAAATGCCCGATTATTCATTCGTCGAAAATAGTCATGTAACCGAAGTGCTTACCGAACCACCATCCTCAGCTGCGGAAGCGCAAATGAACGAGATAGGATATAATGATCAGATAAGATAAGAAAGCCTGTACAGAAAATAAACTAATGGCGCCATCTGTTGATGAAATCAGAACTAAAACATAATTTCTTTAAAGGCCGAAGGCAAAGATGGATTAGAATTAGGATCATTAACTAGAACAGAAAGATTTTTTTGAATGTGAAATACTCTAGAAAATCCAGTTCTCCAATGGAAGATGTTTTTTGATTAATTTTGGCAGCAGAAAAATTGAAAGTGTGATTTTCAGACAAACATTGTTGGGCAACAGAAGGCTTCTGTGTTTCTTTTTTTCTAACATATGCCTAATGTTCCTTGACGCGAAATTGTGAGGCTCTCTTAGTTTGGCCAATGTAAATTAAACCACACTGGCAAGGAATCCTATAAATACTCCAGGAATTCATATCCGGAATGGGGTCCTTGAGTATGGAACTCGGAATTTTATTGATGGGAGAATAAACGACCCGAAAGTTAAATTTCTGCAAGATATGTGCAACTTTATAGCTAATTGATGGAAAGAAGAGAATGACAACAGAATTTTTATAATCTCCTAAAACAAGAGTGTGCCTTTCAGTGTGTTGAGATGAGAATTTTTTAACTGCTTGATTAATAATGTTGGGTGAAAAAAACTAAATTATTTAAAAGCTTGGAGAAGAACTAAATTATTTAAAAGAAATAGCTATTGACAGGGGCTTTTCGGACAGAGTCGGTGTTGGCGCCGCGATGCAAGGCCTACTAGAACGATGCCGTTTCATTGAAATGAAGCCCGTAGGCACATAACGTAATGAACTCTGGGCGTCAATGGAGAAAATCTCTGAAGAGAAATCGGGGAATAGAAAATAAAAAGGAGGAACCTAAAAATGGACCAAAGCCAAAAATAAACCATACAGATGGCTCAGTGCATGGCAATAGTTGAAAATAACCAAGTATTATACAAGTATTATACAATTATACATACAATAAATAATCAAGATTCAATATGTACAACCTGTAAGAATACATACAAATACAAAAGCCTTACAATGAAAACAGTAAATATAATCAATAAAATTTCAAATGCAGAAAATTTCCAAACACGTTCAAAATTCAACCGAGGTTGAAATCAGATAAATGGAACCGACTGAGGAGGCAGGTAACAAAATTCTGTATTCTAACCTCCTTGTCCACATCATTTTATACTAATGTTTCTGTGCAGGATTCTGTGAAGCAGTTTGTACCATCTAAACTCATTTCGATAACACCAATAACAAAACAGTAAATAAATCGAAAAACGTGTAATTTGAAGTTTAAGCATCGATGTAATGTGAATTATGGATTTAAAAGCTACCAAGAAAGCAGCTCGTAAATTAAAGCATTGTGAAAAAATTCTGTTAAAACATGAAAATGTGAAACTTTCTTTGATTCCATCTAATGTGAGTTACGAGTACAAAAATATTTTTATGGATATGTTGAAATTTTCGTTGAGCATAATCATCACCATAACCAGTAGTTCTGTATTCAGAAATGTCTGTCTTAAGAATATATTTTAATCCGAAAAATGCTTTTGAGAAATATAGAGCGTTAATTTTTTCTTTCCTCGCTTGTATTGTTTTTGCAGTTCTATATTATTCTGTCTGTAATGTTTTATTATTCTGTCTGTAATGTTTTGTCTGAAAGAACTGAATTTATTAACTGTTTTAAAATTGTTTATTTTCTTCAAAAGATCCTATTTGAATTATGTTAATTAATGATTAGATCATGCTAATCTTAGATCAAGGCAAAAGACTCACTTAAATATTTCTTTTAATTCTTGAGAATGATATCTCTTAGAAATAAGATAAAATATGTATCTAATAATAGATGTTTTCGAGAAGATAGAAAATATCTTATAGATTCTTATTCATTGGTTCCAACATTAGGTATTCCCTTTTTTCGGTAAAGTGCAGAATCACCTATTACTTGTTTGGCGCTTTTTACAGGAGTAAGAAGAATTGCATTTTTGTAAATTTTTGACATTCTAAGTGAAAATAGGTTGATGTGTACATGGATAATGTCAAGGGAATGCGCAATGCCATTTTTGTGCAGTTCTGGGATTTTTTTTCAAAAGAAAATAGGTTGATGTGCACATGGATACTGAGTATGTGCAATAATTAAAAACACGCCAAGCAGTGCAATTCTGCACTTTCCCTGACTTTTTTTTTCTGTATGTGTGTCACAAATTTTATGATTGTTTGCTTTGAATTAATTCCTTTATTAGTGGTAGCAGAACTTATCCACTGTTTGACAAATGAGCTTAACAACCAATTTAATTTTGCTTACATATTTTTGGGAGTAAAGTGCAGAATCGCCCACTTATTTGTTTGGCGCTTTTTTACAAGAGTAAGAAGAATTGGATTTTTGTCAATTTTCTTTTAAGTGAAAATAGGTCGATGTGTACATGGATACCGAGTTAGTGCAATTCTTAAAAACGCTATAAGCAGTGGGTGATTCTGCACTTCCCCCCTTTTTTATTACATTGTACTGAAAAAAGCACATTATCATATAACTATGTAAAATTTGTTTATGCAGTACAAAGGGTGAAAAACTGAAAAGTCTACTAACTAGAATAATCGGTTAATCTTTGGATTATGGTAACTTGGCGATTTTTTTCGCGAAAATTTGGCAACCAACCCTGCTACAGCAACCTGCTAGTTTTGTTTTGGATGCCATTTCGTTTAAGTAAAGACATGTTTTCTTTTTCTTGACTCAACATTTTTTCCAACAATCTGCTAGCAGAATTATGCTTATATTAGAATTTTTATGGAACAAAAGTGCTTAATCATGACGAAGATTAGGTGTGATATTGGGAGAAAGTGCAGAATCGCAAACTGCTTGCCGCGTTTTTAAGAATTGCACATACACGGTATCATCCATGTACACGTCAACCTATTTTCACTTAAAAAAACATCCCAGAATTGCACAAAAATGGCATTGCGCACACTCTTGACTTTATCCATGTACACTACTAAAGTCCTAGCTAGTAACTTTTATCGCCGTACCAAAATGTCGCCAAACTACCTGTTACCATATTCCAAAGATTAGCTGAATAATCTAATATCCAGACTTTCTGACCACCAAAATAATATATATATATATATATATATATATATATATATATATATATATATAATAAAAGTAATAAATATCTCGCCTTACAAAATATAGGACTACAGAATATAAAAACAAAAGGGATGCAAGTGTGCCATAAAAGCGATTTTACTTTGTCTAATAGATTTCTGCCTGACTGAACATCTGCAGCCTAGGAAGTCATATGGTAACCAATAATAATCCATTTGTGCATGTTTGTATAGTTGTTGGATCAGGGTCACATGTTTGGGTACTCTTCTGTTATCTGAACCGTATTCAAAAGTGTATGTATGCACATGTGCAAATATGTGTGTGTACACACACATACACTGCGGGGGGGGGAAGAGATAGACAGTTCTATATCTCCCATTCTACTGGGTCAATCGATGAAATTCAAATTGTGTTTTCCATGTCCTGAAAGCATGACTTAGGCTATATACAATACGTCTGATATCTAGGCTGGTTAAGACTTCGGCAATTCCAGATTTGGGATTTTTCCAGACAGTAGATCATCAATTTAAATCTGGTAAGATGGCATGCAGAAATTATGCAATTAAAAATATGAAATCGTAACTTATGAAATAAAGAACAATTATGATCTAAAGGCTATCAAAATTTACAAAAAAAAAAAGCTCGATGTTTATTTGTTTACTTTATTAAACATTTCTTTCAATGCAAGTTGTTTAAGTTGCTTCGACAAAAAATTCAAAAAGTTCCTTTTTCTTTTTTCTTATGTCATATATAGTTGACTGTGCAATACCATACTCCTCGCATAATTTTGAGACGGATATGCCTTTATCCATTTTTTGCAGCAATTCCACTTTTTGTTTAATGGACATCGAAACATGGTTTTATTATGTAGATCCTTTGGCAGCTCTCTTTCATGAATTGGAAACTCTTTTCGACATAATCGAAAGTTCAAGCTTAGTTTTTATAAAATTGGCCGTAATAATAACAGTCTGCAAAAAATAATAAGCTGGATCAAACTAGAAGATTAGGGAGCAGCGCAGTCCTCTAGTTTGAATTACAAATACTGAAATTAACTGAAATGCTTAGAATATACATTAACTGAAATGCCTTAGAATAATACATTAACTGAAATGCCTTAGAATCAGTAAAGGTAATTTTAGCCTAGCGTCCGTTATACATTATTGGCTCTGTATCACTAGATTGGTGATGAGAGCCCATTTGTTTTGCTAAATTTTGTCTTTCTCCTTAGCCTGAATTGTATTTAGTTTACTTATGTTTATTTCTTTCACATGCTTAAAACTAATCTGAGTCTTGAATAAATAAACTCCCACATATACTTAACGCTTTATCTGGGGCCGGCGCTAAATACTGCCTAGGGCAGTCTCTACAGTTCCTAAATTCTGCTACAAAGCGCCTTCCTAAGTTCTAAATTTTCACCGCACCTAAACTTTGCATCCCAGTGCTTTCCCTAAATCATCAAAACCTTCTCATCCCTTAATTTTGCTGCTTGGTGCTTCCCAAAATTCCCAAAACTTCGTCTTCTCTAAATTCTTCTGCCACTTCTGGGTTTATAGTGAATAACATATCAGTTATTCTTAATTAAAATAGCACTAAATGTAATCTTTTGGCCTATGAGTTTCATTAACAAAATTTATTTTTAACATACGAGAAGAAATTTTTGTTGAAGTTTTCTTCATCAACATTTCTTAAAACATTTAAAAATATAATCATTGCCAAGCATAATGTTAGCATAGAAGGTTGCCATACTCTTGTTATTCAATTACTAACATGAAAAAAAGTTTAGACATCACTGCATGAGTAATTACTGAAGCTGTCATGTATTGATAAACATACGATGATGAAAGCAAAATATAATAAATAATGCCTTGCCAGGTCAGCATCAGGGATATAAAATAGGTGAATGTTTTGGTTTGAGATGTATGCGAAGTAGATACTCACAGGGATATAAAATAGGTGAATGTTTTGGTTTGAGATGTATGCCAAGTAGATACTCAGCTACGGAGCCAAATTATTAACCTCACAAATTTATACTTATATGATTGTTTTTCCATAACGAAGTGTTTTATTTAGTGCCTAAGTGAAATTAAGAATCGAAATTTTTAAGTGAAAATCTCCACATGTTTATTATGGAAGGAAAAATCAAATGCACATGTGTAAAAAAATGTTTGTGGCTTTGAGGTCAAGATTTCAGGTCATTCTGGATAATGGATGTCCAGATTTCAGACTTTGTACTGTATTAGATTTACATATGTACACTGACCTAATATAGGTATTTTGACACAAAATCGGACTTTTTCTGAAATGACATGTCATTTTTGTTTCCATATTTCGATTCTACGGCTCAAATTATGGCAAACTGCCAAGTTTTGTAAAAATCGCATGAGTAGTTTTTAAAAAATTAGCTCTCAAAATTTCAGCTCCTCCATGTTAATTTAATTTGATATATATTTATTAACATCTCCTTTTTTTATGAAACTTACGATTCCTTCTTCCATAATTTGAAATTTAGGCTTAATCGAAATATAATTTGCACATTTTTTATTAATTTAAAATTTGTATTTTTAAATATTTTTTCTAAATTTTTCAGAAAAAATTTTGAATTATAACTGATAAAATTTTTACCATCATCTTAAAGAAGATGTATTTCTAAGTATACCTGCAAAAATTAGAGTTTTTTATTTAAAACTTCCTAGGATATATGGGAACTTACATATTGGTGTGTTTTGAAATTTGGCATATTTGTTTTAAGCGATAATAAGGCCAAATGTGGTGTTGTAAATATAGTTAACCATTTTCCTTAAGCAGCTGAAATGAAACTTTAATCAACTAAAACAGAACATCAAATGTTACGTTGTAAGAACAATATTTAAACTAAAAATGACTGTTGCTATTCCATGTAATATAATTTTAGTGCTGCTAATAATATTAAATATTATACCACATTCACCTCTCCCTAAAATTATTAATAAGTTACGTAGTCTACCAAATAAGAAGGCTGACATCTCTGTCTCTTCAGATGCAAGTATTCACTCTCATGCAAGTTATCATTTGAAGTCTTTTCAAAATCCTCATGTCCATAGAGCACAGTAAATCACTGACTTGGGGATCCTCATCTGTCGATTTTCTTACAGTTTTCGATATAAGTTCAGGAGCTTGAATGGCCAAATCTTCATTCTTTTGAGCAAAAGAATCTGAAAGTTGTTGGTTTTCATCTAATCTGATGTCATGGGCATGTGTAGGAGTATCTCCTCTGGATGCTAAATATCATATTAAATAATGTCAGAACGAAATTTGTCTTGGCTCTCTTATTAATCGACTAAGTATTGAGCTTCAAAACACTTTTCCCTTGACAAGTTCTGTTACGAAGCTTCAAACAAGGGAGATTAATTTTTTGCACAATTATTTCCCTTTTTTACTTTCTTAGTTGTATCCAGTGTCTTAGTATATTAGATTTTTTTAATTTCTTCATTCAAAGCACTATCTTAGTATCTTAGATTTTTGCTTTAATGTAGTTCATGTATTAATTTACTTGGTAAAATTCGGGTCTTCTTGCTGATGAGTTAGATCTAACAATACTTTTGAGCTTCAATTAAAATTTAGCAGCACTTTACGCTAGTTTATTCTTTTAGTATTAGCATACTTACTACACAACTCCTTGACTACTTCTTTTCACTTTATAGCTGGAGATGCATTTTGAAGCCCTGCTATAATTCTTTGAATTAATATTTTGATTGTTTGATTTGAATACAAGAATTTGCTTCATTTATAATATATATCAGCCATGTCCAAACTATGGCTTGCAACTGCATGTGGATTCCCAACATCCTAACTGCGTCTCGCGAGCTACTTGTGGCCCTGTGCAGACTTGAGATGCAGACTTGCAACAAACAGTAGTTCATTTTTTGAAATATAATTAATTGCATTTTGAATTAAAAGTCATGCTATGACCTGCTGCAGGCTTATTGTCAGAGTAACAATCAAAATTCTATTTCATAACAAACAGTTCATTTTGAAAAAAATTCCATTTCTGTGAATTGCTGTCATGGCCTTGTTACTTTTAGAGCAGATGATGGCTACCAGAATTGGACGAAATTTACAGATATGAGGTAATTTAAGAAATGATCCTGTCTAATTTTGCTCAGTGAGGTTAATTTTATTTCAGACAGTTTTTGCTTACATTCCATCTGCGTGATTTCCTTACTTTGCAACAATTGTTCTCCATTGCGTTGGAAGATTTGCTGTTCTTTGTAGAGTACTACATTTACTCAGCCCTTGACTGGCTTGGGTAACTGATGAAACTTTTTTTCAAGGAGGAAAATTGCTGTTCACTCTTTTAGTTTGGGGAAGAATCTGAAATCTGAGGATTTCATGTGTGGTAAGGTAAATCATCCAGCTCTTATTTGGTTAGGAGACTTGTCCAGTTTTTTCATGTGCGATAGTCCTTCAAAATTAATTTCACATTTCTAAGGAAGCCAAATAATTTTTATGCAATTTCTTTAAATATTTCGCAACACCTTACAGTAATATGCTGCATTTAACACATTTTTCTCTTGAAACTCTACCTTCTGTAATAATTCCTTGGTAATTCTAGTTAGAGCATAATTATATCATCAGTGGTTGAACATGCTAATGGTGTCTTGGGAAGAACCACTGGATTGGCAACAATTTCAGTTCTTGCCAAAGTTTTTAATTCACCTTTTGTCAGTTACTGTTATTCGAGATAAAAGCCTTTCCATTTCATCATCAAATCTTCATTCCAATAGTGTTGCATCAAGCAATGCGGATACAAACGTCTCTCTCCTACAAAGTTTCTGTCAAAATATGACATAGTTATGCTGATGAAATTGATTTAGCTTGTGATATTTTCTCTTATGTTGCTTGATGACCTTCCTTCTTTTAAAGTTGTCATAAATATTGCACTAGGTAAGAAAGAGATGCTGCTAGGCTTTTTTACCCTTTAGTTCTGTTGCTCAGTGTTGTACCAGCGTTACACTTCTTTAATATGTTGATATTTTTAGTCTTCCTTAATCTTCAATCATCATGTACAGCTGACACATCCTTCACAAAAGCTCTGGTACGTTGTAGTATGACCAAAGGAAAGTTGCACTATGATCCACTGTCTAACCACTAGAAATTTCAAGCAATAGGTAAAAATATATTTACGAGTGCTGCTTGGCAAAAATTGGTGATTTTTGATGGTACATGGATACCAAGTTTGTGCAGTTCTTTTACTTGTTATTTTGACTTCGTGTAGCGGCAATTTTTGGGGCCGCTATACAAAGCCAAAATAACAAGTTAAAGAATTGCACGAACTCTGTATCCATGAACATGTCGACCTATTTTCACTTAAAAAAAATCAGAGAATTGGACAAACTTGGCGTTACGCACTTCCTTGACTTTATCCATGTACACATTGATCTATTTTGACTTAAAAAGTCAAGGGAGCTGCCAACAAAAAAATTATGTAATCTTAATAAACTACATTTTAAATCAAACAATGAAATAGCATAAAAAGAGAAATTCATCTTAGCACTACACAAAGGGGAGAGCCACTTATCTTATTTAGAAATTTCTGTGTCTTCAGTCAAATAAAATTCCTTAACAGCATCGAAAAACTTCCTAAAATTATCCGAACTAGAATCTGTCTGTATGCTGGTGTCGCCACATAAATTCACAAAAATAAGAGTAAAAAATATCCTCTGTAGTGCCGGTATCCTCCTACGTTTGACCATACGCATTTCCTTCGTACAAACAGGACACTTATAATGGCTACTAAGTAAACCTTTCATTTACACACCATTCAATTAATGCTTTTTCCCCCTTTCATTCCAAATCATACAGAAATTTCAAATTAAATCTTAGCACATTCAGCCATTTTACCATGTAAACCATAAAATAGCAGCATACTTCCTAACCAACATCAAACACACAAACAAGCCTTTACAAATCTTTTTCCATCATTCAAATTCACCACAATCACACAACCAATTACGTCTTAATAGGGTTTCCGTGACATTCAACTATTCAGGTTACCATAAATGAAACAACAACTTGTCAATAAATGAAACGACTTGTTCATAAATGAAACAACTTAGTGATAATCCAAGGGGCACCCTTCAATATACTCTAACCAAGTAATATAATGTGAAATTTTGTTAGTTTTAGCTCCATAAGCTTTCAGTTTTAAGTCTGATCTTTCACTTTCTACAATCATAGTGCCTTCATATGCTTACAGATTCCATTTCAAAAATTAATTTCAAACTCCATTACAGATTTATTTTGTGTATAGAGGTTATGTAACCGCTAGGCTGAAGGTTAAATAAAAACATTTAATTTTATTCTTTCTTATGAGTTGAAGTTATTTTACTTAGAAATTTAAGACTGATAAGTCAGTTGATAGTATTTATGAATTTAACAGTTAACAGTTTGAATAGGGTGGATCTGAACGTTTTTGTGGCAAGAACTCAGGAACTAGACTATAGTCTGTCATGTCACAAAGGGTTTCCACATTGAACTTCTTTACATTTCCATAGAAATTTGGGCATTAAACTATCATATTTGCAATGAGGAGCCTGTTATTAATTTCCATAGATAAATCATTATTATTAGTAGCAATAGTTCCAAGATATTTGAATTGTGCCACATGTTCAAAAGTGTAGTTGTTCACAGTCAGTAGTGATGCATTAATTGATTTATGGGCATTTTCTAAAAATTTGGTTTTATCTTCATTTATGGTTAGGCCTAATTTTCTTGCCTCAGGAGAGGCACTGAGCAGTTGAATTTAGAGAGGTACTTGGCAACAGAATTTAGGCCTTGCAGAGATTGCACTGGGCAGCAAAATGTGTAGCACCAGCCCTGTCTCCACAAGAGGCAAAAGTCTGAACCAGGTCAGCATCGATACAACATCAATCAATGCACTATTATTGATCACAGTGTGATGTTTTAAAGTGGCATGCAGGTTTCTCAGTTGGTTGGGAGAAAACTTCCATTTATAGCACAATTATCACCTTTTTTATTCTATTCTTCATTCTTATACTTTATAAGGGGGTAATTATTATTATTATTTGGTTAGTGGTGTGTTGGTTCTGATCTTGAAGCAGTTTGGATATCAGATGTCTGGGCTTTGGACTTAGTACTGTATATACCAGGGGTGGCCAACCTCCTTGATAGTCCGAGCCATTTTTCAAAATTAGAAATTTTTCGCAAACCACAATTAAATATGTATTTAAAAGGTAAAAAGGTATTTCAATTTTTTTTTACAGAAATTATATGTATTGAAAACATATAAATAAAAGTACAAAATATGTGTATTGAATTTAAATACGTATTAAAAATTAAACACATTTATTTTACTTCTCTTGATAATTTTTTTAAATTTGGTGAATAATTGGGGACAGTATTTCTCAGTAATTCTTTGAGATGCTGGTTAGTTAATAGTGATCGGTGTTTAGATTTCACGAATTTAAAGTGGAACAAAATGATTCACATAAGTACAATGTTCCAAATATTGAAATAATTCGACAAACAGCCTTTTTTAATTCAGGATACTTCGATTGTGGTACAAATTTCCAAAATTCAGTAATTGGCGTCTATTTATATTCTAATTGTAGAGCTTGATCTTCTTGCATCTCTATTAATTCTAATTCTCCAGATTCTTTTTTGGGTCATAATTATATTGGAAATGGAAAACTCGCCTTGAATTATGTTAATTTCAAATGGATTCAGAAAAAAATCAAGAGATGATGGATGGAAATGATTTGTTGCCGTTGCACTTAGTCTTTCATATTTGTTGTCTGTGATTTAAAAGACATTTTGAAACATATACAGAACGATAATAATTTAAAAAAATCTAATAACACAAAAATTAAAAGGGAACTGGGGTACATTTATCGAGAGCCACAAATAATCCTTCAAAGAGCCGCAGGTTGGCTACCCCAGGTATATACATATGTATATTTTGTACTGTACATACATATGTGTATTATTTATTTAATATATTATTAATTCCTGCTGTAACCAGAATTCTCTCTTACTAACACATGGAACAAATTTACAGCTATAATAATTAAGGTTTTAACTTCTCATCTACACACTTTGCTAATGCATTCCTAACTTGAAATATCTGCACAAGCTAGAAATTTTTAATCCCTCTTGATTAAAACATTTTAAACTTGCCATTTTAGTCAAATTTGATGCAATAAAATGTGAGTTTTTATTTTATGTGATTATTCCTTAAAATTGTCATTGTATTGCCTATGAAAAAATGCTTATTCTTGCTGATATAAATTTTTTTTCAGAGCCTTTTCATCGGAAATGGAGGTTTAGGCTGTGGCATTCAGAGAGAATTTCTGACAGATCTCTTTAGCTGTTATGGTGCACTAGAAGATATTGTGTTATTACCTGATAAACCATATGCATTTGTTGTATACAAAAAAACAGAAGATTCTGAGAAAGCGTTTGCATCTCTTCATGGCCAGAAGCAAAAATCAGGGCATATGTTTTACATATCATATATTAATAGTAAGTATGTTTAGATGGTATTTGTTGGCTATCTGGTTTTGCTAATATACAATGGACAATCTATTTATGTCTGTCGATGCATAAATTTGGTTTTTTGATTTCTGATGGGTTTTGTGTGGCAATTATATTCAAAACTGTATCAATTAAATTTTTATTATCTGAAGCTTATCTCCATATGAACTGTGGAAAATTTAAGAAAGGTGATGATGAATTTTAATATGTTGCCATTTATCCTTCATTTTACTTACTGTCATATGCATTTCATTACAGTCAAAAGTCGTTAATTCGGACACCCATAATCCGGAATGATCTATAATCCGGACCTCAAAGCTAAAAACTTTCTGCGCATGCGCCGCGGTGGCACATGCGCACAGGCGTTTTACGCGAGCGCGTAAGACCTTGACTACTGCGCATATGCGTGTGCGCAACTGCAGAATACGTTTTCGCCTGCACGTTTAATGTATAACGGACGGTGTAAGCTAAAATTATCTAATTATCTATTTCAGTTAATGTTAATGATTGCATTGTTCCTTAATCTTCGAATTGGATCCCGCTTATTATTTTTAGCAGACTGTAAGAGCAATTTTATAAAAGTAAACTTGAACTTTCGATTATGTCAAATAGAATTTCCGATGCTGGAACTTCCAAAGGATCTACAAAACGAAAGTATGTTTCGATGTCCAACAAACAAAAATTGGAATTGCTGCAAAAAATGGATTAAGACATGAAGAATGTGACAGAGAGGTTAGTGAAAACGAAAAAATTTCGATTGACAAGTTAGTCGGTATTCTCGGCACAGCAATTAACGGGACTTGAACAGCGGAACTTTGTAACTGAACAAGAAATTATGTCTTTTTATAGAATTAAAGAGAAAGTATTATCACATAAAATGAAGCAACTTAAACAACTTACATTGAGAGAAATGTTAATAAAGTAAACAAATAAATATTAAGCTTTTTTTTTTGTAAATTTTGATACCCTTTAGATCATAATTGTTCTTTATTTCATAAATTACGGTTTCATGTTTTTAATTTTAGAATTTCTGCATGCCATCTTACGAGATTTAAACTGATGATCTATAATCCGGAAAAATCGATAATCCAGAATCGCCGAAGTCCCGACGAGTCCGGATTAACGACTTTTGACTGTATTTGCATACAGATGCCAGTCTGGAGATTTAAGTTGACACTGGGGGAGAAAAAATGAAGCTATTCTACTTCCCTTAGCCTCTAGAGTCTTTGTAGAAAAAGAAGAAATATTGCATCATCTTGCAACCACTGAAAGATTAAAATATTTTTATTCTTAAAAATTGCATACATCAAATTAAAAAAAATCTTTTAATAAGCACATGTAACAATTCTGTGATACCCATAAATCTAGTTATCAAAGTATTTACTTAGTTATTTATTTAGTTCTAAATTTTTTACAAATTATAAATTACAAAAATCTGAGCTCTTGTATCTTTTCGATGATCAAAAGTTATGCAGGGTTTGTATGGTCCTTAAAAGTTCTTAAATTTTTTTAAATCAATTTTTGGTCTTTAAAAGTCCTTAATTTTGGCCAAAATCAGCAGAAAGTCCTTCATTTTAATCATCTGAAATTTCTGTCTGTTTTTACGACTGCCATTTTGAGTATGAATTAGCATTTTGGAAGAATATTTTTGGCGATTCACTGACGTATATGGTTATCTTTTGAATGTGTTCATGGATTATAATTTGTTTCTATTTCTAATATAAATCATGGAATACTCGAGTTTCTAAGCAAGAAGTGAAACATAAGCATTTTGAAAATCATTTTTTGTAATAAAAGAGCTCTTAAACAATTTTCGCTTTTGGGGGATGTGAATTTTTTATTAAACGGTTCTAAATTTGGTGACTTGTCAACATTTTGGCAATTTTAAGATCAATTTCTATAGAAAATTTTTGATTCCGAGATATGAGAATTTTTCGACGATTTTTTTAACAGCATATCATTGATAAATTTCATTAAAATAATGGTATTATATTGAAGTTATATTAAAAAAATTACATTAAAATAAAACATTTTTATTTCTTGCTGTCATATTATAAAAGTTCTATTTTGGCAACATGTTATACAATATTTTGAATCTGAAAAATAAACAAGGTTATAATGCTATAAAGCATAATTTATAAAACAACTCTTTGCAAAAGCAAAATTAGCTATTTAATTAATTAAAAATGTCTTCTTTTAAATTTTTTCTTAATAAGAGTTTTTCCCATTAATTGCCTCAGAATATTCAAAATTCTCAGAATATGCATCAGTTTTTTCTATGAAATTAATTTTACACTTTTTCCCTCCCCCCTTTTTTTTTTTCCAAATATCTTTTTTTTTTTTTTGCTGTTACACAATTGATAAGGATAATTTTTCTTTAGTATTTTAGACATTGCAGCTTGGAAAGTTGAGAAGGATTTGAAGGCAAGATTTATAGACCCACAATTCTAGAAAATTCGAGAAATATGTAACAAATGAAAAATGTTCAACACGTAATGAATGTATTTTACAGAAAGTTTGCGATGAATTTCTTACTTTTTGGAAAACGTCTGGAAGAACAATGAAAACATAATATTTGAATGTTTTACTTCTGATACTAGAAGTCTTTTTCTTAACATGTTTATCTTTCCCTTTTGTTTTTTCTACTTTTCACTAGACACAAGTATGGAAAATATCAAAAATGGTACTAATCTTATCACTTGGGCAGGCATTTGTAGAAAGGAATTTTTCGGTTAATAAAGAAAATGAAAGCTTACAATTTAAAATATTCATCTAATATGTCTTAATGCATCATACACAGAGCTGGTACTAGGCATTTTCCCTCCTGATGCTATCTCTGTGGATCCTAAATCTGCTTCCTAGTGCCTTTCTAAATTCTGCTTCCAATGCCTACTCTGAATTTTAAAAGTTTTGCCATTTCTAGATTTTGTTGTTCGGTGTGTCTCTAAATTCTAAAAATTCTGCCACACCAGCTCTGTAACTGGATTTTACCATATATTTTTCATATTTCTTCTGAATGCTCATATTACTAAAGAATACAATTTTCCACTTTCTCTATACATTCTAAATCATATAGTTTTTTTTAGAATAACAGAAATCCTATTAATCCAAAAATTCTAAAAGAAAAGGAAATTGTTGAAGAAACTGAATACATAAGAAAATTATTCTTCAAAGATATGTGCAGTCATTATTATTAACTTATCCAATTGTTTATCATTTCAGCTTTACTATAATTTCCCATTTCTATCTCCTCATATGATAGAGTTACTGAGCCAGATTAAATTAAATTAAATTGTATAATCTTTGACCACTAGTCCACATTCTAGTTTGAATTTGACTGTTCTTGTTTAATTACGTCACCGTGAGCTGTATTGATTTTATTGCTCAAACATGCATTTATGTTCTAAGTCTTTTTAAAAGAGGCTTATTTAAACTTTGTCTGATATTAGTAACTTTCAGCATAACGATAATTTTGCTTTATATCTGTCAGGGGTTTGGGACTGGTTTCTTTTACCGGATCAAGTAAATTGTTATAGGTACATTGTGGAGAGGTGGACAAGTTAGGAGATAAAGCACACAGAAAGGGAAGCACTGTTTGCAATATTGAGACAATCTTCTATTGTTCGAAAGATGATCATCGTAAACTAACAAATGTTTGGTAAGGCTTCAGATTAAAATGACGAATAAATATTTTGTTGTTATAATATTTGTTGTTACAAAACATAAATGTTTTGTAGCTTTTAATGTGTAATTATTCTAATATCGTTTAAGAATTAGTGTCATAAATTACATGTATTTAATACTGTAAAATTTTTTTAGATTTTGATTTTAATAGGGCTTTTTTTAAAAAATATTGTTAAAAATAAAATTTAATAGTGGCCATGTAAATCCATAATGACTAAGGTTACCTATGTACATACTTTAATTATTTATAACTAACTGCTTACCCTTAAAAATTATCTCTACATATTAAAGCGAGTTATTGCCTTTCATTAATATTCACTGTGGTCACAAGATAAAACACAAAAATGTAGAAATTCAAGTAAAACTTATTCTTTGCATTTAGTGAGACTTAAAATAATACAAAAAATTTATTACCTCTGGTGCTTTAATGGCTTAATGGAACCTGAAAGTATATTATATTAACTGTGTTACAATCCCTAGAACTGTACACAAAGCTACACCACTAACTGCATCAAACAAAGCCTGACTAACTTTCAACACTTGCCAACCATGCCTACATCAGGCCTTTAAGGTTTGTTCTAATCAGCAGGTCTCTCTCTAGACAAGCAGCAGCGGTAATAACATTCAGTCTTTTGGTTATGAATCATGCTGATTATGATCTTACTTCTGAAATTTTAACCAATGCCATTTGACATAAAATCTACCTAATATTTACTAAACCTCTAAACCAGTGGTTCTCAACCTTTTGACTAACGTGTACCATCTAAACAAAAATTGAAAACTTTTAGTACCACCACTACAAAGTACTACTACCACCACCACTCTTGAACAAAGCTTAGATTGCATAAATTTATGAGTGTTAGAGAAAAAACTCAATCAGGATGTTGGGGTTTTAATTTTTGAAATAAATAGTTAAAAATACTTTGCTTCTTTGTGTACCACCTATTTTTTCTTGTGTACCACTGGTTGAGAAGCTCTGCTCTAGACTGACTGTGACAAAATGAGACATACAGAAATCAACATAAAGCTAACTATTAGTAAAACGTGAATGTCACTTATCTTCTTTCAAATATGTCCAACCTATTATAAGTGTAAAATATTTAATGCTACTTTATCAACTGCATGAAGTTTATTTTATTCTCAAACTTATTAATAATTATGTTAATTAATTCATGTTTAGTAATAATGTATACTATTGAGGAATCTATTTTATTTTTAGGATGGTATTACAAAAGTGAAATTCAGGCATAGAATAATATTTTTAATTGAATTTATTCAGTTCCCATTTGCTCATAGGTCCTTAA